CTAAACCCTAAACCCTAAAATGATCCTTGAAAAAAATCCGAAACCTTAAAACAAATCCCTAAACTTTCACCCCAACTAAAAACCCACTAAAATACGTTCCAGAAAGAAACCCGCAAACTTGAACCTCCCAGACCCAAAAACCATTTGAGGTTTCCCTAATTTTTTGAGATTCATGGGCATTTTACTTTTTCGCTGGCTCCGCTTTCACAACCCGTATGCCCCCCATACCTGACGCGCATTTGACTTTTTCACCCTCATCGACCCCCTACATCTAATTGGATGCCTAATGAAATTCGTGGGCACTTTTTCTCCCTATGTCGACCCCCACACCAAAATTTCGTGGACGTTTGACTTTTTCATCCCCCCATACCTAATGTAACTTTTTTCATCCCCCGTAGCCCCCCCATACCTAATGAGATTCGTAAGCTTTAACTTTTTCACCACCCGTGGCCCCCAATATCTAATGAGATTCGTGGGCATTTAGCTTTTTCACTCCCCTGGCTCACCATACCTAATGAGATTCGTGGGCATTTAACTTTTTCACCACTCGTGGATACCCATACCTAGCGAGATTCGTAGGCATTTAGCTTTTTCACCCCTGTGACACCCCATATCTAATGAGATTCGTGGGCTTTTAACTTTTTCACCACTCGTGGATCCCATACCTAACGAGATTCGTGGGCATTTAAACTTTCTCACCCCTCGTGGCCCCCCATACCTAATGAGATTCGTAAGCATTTAATTTTTTCACCCCCAGTGGCCGCCCATATCTAAGATTCGTGGGCATTTAACTTTTTCACTCTCCTGGCCCACCATACCTAATGAGATTCGTGGGCATTTAACTTTTTCACCGCGACCCCCTGTATCAAATGAGATCCCTAGGCATTTAACTTTTTCACTCCTCTCCTGGCCTACCCAATGAGATGCGTAGGCATTTAACTTTTTCACCCCCCGTGGCCCCCCTTGCTTACTTACCTAATGAGATTCGTTGAGCATTTAACTTTTTCACCCCTCGTGTCCCCCTATATCTAATGAGATTCGTGGGCATTTCATATGATCACCCCCCGTGGCCCCCCATAATGAGACTCGTGGGCATTTAACTTTTCCAGCCCTGGTGGCCCCCCCATACCTAATATGTTAACCCCCCCCCGCGGCCCCCCATATCTAATGAGATTCGTGGGCATTTGGCTGGGGCGCCATTCTGCAGCAAAACAGCGCCGATCTTTTCGTGTATATCGAATAAACCATCCGAGGTTCGAGCCCGAACTCCGGTTTGTGCAATCGGATTTTGCGATGATTTTATTTGTTACGCAAGTGATTTGTTAACCATATTGTTGTGGTCTAGGTTTAGGGTATAAAGTTGAACGGAGTCCAACTGTAAATGGAATTCAGCTGTGAATGAAACTTGTGGTTGTAAAGGAACAAACTCTTGATTTGCGACTGTTATGGGATTCCAACCGTGGGTGGGTGTTATGTCTAAACCGTGAATGTAACTTTACTATAAAACTGCTAGATGCGAAGCTGCTGAACCCTTAAAACCCTACACCCTAAACCCCTAAACGCTAATCAACCCTAAAAATAGAACCCTAAAACCGTACAACCCAACTCAAACCCCCAAACAACCCAACTCAAACCCCAACTAACCTTGAATTCAAGTGTAGTGGTGCTGCGAACGTTGGTGGGTCGGTTGCGTGATTTGTTGGGTGATAGTGCTGTTTTGACCTTACCACGGAAAAAAACCACCGGGCCCAGCGGTGCCTGCCGAAGCATGACCAAGATACTCTCGAGAGGTATGCCAAGCTCACTCACCGTGA